ACAGAGCAACTGGTGGGTTTTTTAACTGCCACCATTGCAGTTAGAGCCCAACACGTGACTCACTGTACCACCAGGGCCCCTCATGTATGTGTGTGTATATGTATGTATGTGTATAGAGAGAGCATACTCAACATACAAGCAGGCTGATGGGCAGGAGATGGGGATGGCAGGGATGGGCAGGGTGTGCTTATGTCAGGAAAATGACTCACAGATGTATAAGCAAGCAAGTTCCAAGGCCATGGCTGGGTGAGATGTTAGGCCAGAGGCGTCTCCTGTAGTGCAGGGACTCGTGAACCCAATGTCAGCAGGGTGATAAAAGACTGGCTGCAGAGGCTAATGAAGCCAAGGCCCGCAGGGAAGATAGGCTACTGATGACTCCCAGGATTAGCAAGCAATACAGCGGGCTGTTGGCTCAAGTCCAAAGAAACAGGTCAAAGAGCTAGCTTCAGGAACCAGACTAATAAAGCAAGCAAATTTTCCACAGTGTCAATTTATATTGGAAGCAGCCCCTCTTCCAATTTATTTTGGAACCACCCTCTCACTAGGAGATACCCATCTTAGGGAATTACTAGGATTTAACTGCCAAACCACTCAAAATCCCGGCCCAGCCGAGTTGACACCAAACGGTCACACCGTGGTATTTTCAGTTGTTTCTTAAGCCTATGAAAGCTGGTCAGTGAGTAAGGAGAATTAGAGACAAACCGACGCCTTTGAATCATGGTGTTGGCAATGAATCTTGAAAGTACCATGGACTGACTACCAGATGGTAAAAATAAATCTGTCTTGGAGGAAATTCACCCAGAATGCTCTTTACAAGTGAGAGTGGCGAGACTTAGTCTCCAATATTTAGGATATGTTATCAGGAGGGACCAGCTCCTGGAAAAGGGTATCAAGCTGAGTAAAGTAGAGGGAGGGTCAGCAAAAAAGGGGGACTCAACAGGACGGCTTGACTGGCACCATGGCTGCAACTATGGGCTCAAACATAACAGCTGTGAGGACGCACAGGAATGGGCAGTATTTTGTTCATTTTTCATAGGATAGCTGTGAGTAAGCGCTAACATGACAACACGTCACGGTAACAGCATACATACTTATACTTAGTAATCATGAAAAATTACCCTTGATTAATTATACACTTGACTCAACTTTGAGTATTAGGTGTAGGTTCCTTGAGGTGCCCACTGGAAGCCGAAACTCAGTGTTTCCAAAATAGAGCCAAACCTATGCTTACTTACCTGTTTTCTCTTGTTGCGTAGCGCCATCGATTGGGTGATCTAAGTTTAAGATATTCTCCAGTTGAAGCCTTTTGAAGGCTCTCGTGACCTTCAAGCACGATGCGTGGTCTCTGTCGTCTGCTGCCCTTGTTCCTTAGGCTTAAATGTAGGTGAACTACTGCATGTTTTCAGTCATAGAAAGCATTCTTTAGGAGGATTTCTGTATCTCAAGTCTCGGGTCAGGCCATTTCTTGGCAAGGCCTTCTCTGACTTCCTAAGCCACTACAGTGTCTTGCATGAGAGGGGCTTGGAAAGCGTATGGAAAAATTCCATTATCTTCTCACTCCCTTTTCTCCACAAGCTTTTTGAAGCCCTCTTTGGACATATTTGTGTGTGTGCATGTCTCCCACCTGTACTAACATTTCAATTGCTGGGAGGTTGACTTTCTCATCTTTGTTCCTTAGTGCCTGCAGTCTGTTATTTTGTCCTTAAAATGAAATGCCTTTCAGTAAATAAACTATTGTGGAATATGTGAAAACCACTATTTATTGACATACTTCAAACAGACTCCTCAGCATTCTTTCCAAGTGGCTCATGCTCACTGCCCATTTCATGTCCTTTTAGTGAGTGATCGATTCATCTTGCTTCTGCCTTCCCCTCTACTTCAGTTCCTCTCTTTGCTTTTCCTGGGCTCAGTTAAGTAACTTCTCAAATGTGATGGGCTTTTCTAGCACCTAGTCGGCTTAGAACATGCTTCCATTCCAGGAGATGAAGCCATCTACTTTTTAATATAACCAAGCTCTGAGAGTGCAATCCCATAAAAACTAGGTGTCTTTCCTAGATTCAGCCTGTTTGTCATGCAACTTGAATTACTCATTCTTTATTCTCCACCACATCACATACTTTTCCCTCTTTGCTTGCTCAAAGGTGTACACGCATAAAATCCCACTCAAGGAATGGTAGCTGACCATTATTCTTGCTTCCCATTCAGTGATTACTGTGCTGCTTTGCTAGAACATATCTTGTTTGGGAATTTTCCGCTTCACAAGGCAGCCTGTTCAATTTTTTTTTCTTTCTTTTACAGTTTTATTGGCACATAATCCACATATCATACAACTCAATAGCTCACTCATATCAAGAAGAATTGTACAATCATTAGCCCAATTGATTTTTGAACATTTTTTTCATGGTGAAATCGCTTTTAAGATGAGTCGTGTAGTCACCACCAGTTCTAGTGCTCCTTCCCCCTCCCACATACTTTGTTTGCTCCTCCAACCCCATCACCTTCCCTGTCTCCCACCCCCCCACACGTAACTCCCCTATAACTCCTTTCATCAGTTACTGTGTTAGTCAGGGTTGACTAAAACAAATTCATAGACACTCATATGTGTATAAGAAAGAGCTTTATATAAAAGCATAATTATATGTTAAGAAAACGTCCCAGCCGGGTACAGATCATGTCCATAGTCCGATATTAGCCCATATGTCAGATATCAGCCTGTAAATTCCTCTTCATATTCACACAACACATGCAATGATGCCAAATGCAAGAAGATCACAGGCTAGTAGGTGGAAAGTCTTGGGGATCCAGTGGTGGTGGAAGCATCTCAGCCCTGGTGTGGGTCTCTATGTGGCTCCTTCAGCTCCAGATCTCTGACTGCCATCAGCATGGCTCCATGTGGCTAGTCAACAGGAATGTCCAGCAGAGAGAGACAGGAGTTCCCAGAATCCTCAGGAGAAGGCCATGCCCACACAGAGGCCTCCTTGGGTATGTCTTGATTGACAGGCTAGAGTCCACCCCTTCGCAAGTTGACAAGAAATCATGTAACTGCCACAGTTATTATCTTGGTACATCTCCTGTGCTTCGATTTTTGTTAGCACGTATCCTTCATTAATTTCCCTTTTGTCAAAATAAGTCTTTCCAGACTTCTTTGGTCCTATTTTTTTTCTGTTGGAGCTTTAAATCCCTGAGACAAGCATAGATGCTGGAATATACTTGGCTGTTCCATGACTTTCTGGTTGTGCAATAGAAAACCCTGTGGGTCACAACAGTTGGATTCACAACTCATCCTAGAGGCCGTCGAGTAGCTGGAATCTTGGTAGTCAAAGGCAAGTTCTTGGAGGAAGACCCAAGTTGATGCGCCTCTTTGGCTGTTCTCGGATAGCTAGTAATTGTAAGGTGATTAAGATGGTAAAATGAAAGATATATTTTCCTATAATAAACATCAACTCCTTGGTTCACTAAAACGCCGATTCTGTTTCCTAGATTAACATTATACAGAGATAAAATGATAGAAAGGCAAACTCAAATTAATTCTGACTATAAAGCCAAGCCAGAATTCGGATCCTGTGAGGCCCATTGTTGTTCCTGATCAGAGGACAGTAGACAGTGTCTGGCATGCCGGCTGCACTGCCCATGCTCCTGATGACCCTCCAGCGCAATCAGAGAGTGCCCTCAGAACTTTGACTGTTGCTGTCAGAGGCCTTTGAGTCGGAGCCAGGTCACAGCATTCTGTCTACAGATTCCACAGCAGATTAGTGTGCGCTTCTCACCACCCACAGTGTATTCAATGTTCTTCACCAGCCCAGGCTTCAGATGCGTTACTTCTTCTCCAGGCTTACTGTCTAGCTTCACATGCATAGGAGGTGATGAAAAGTACTGTGGCTTGGGTCAGGCACAGTCTTAAAAGTCACATCTTGGCTTTTTAGCACTTGAAAAGAGTACTTTTGAAACTAGTTCATTACAATTTAATACTAACAAAACAAAAGACCCCACTGTTGAGGGAATTCTGACTCAGAGTAGCCCTATATTGGGTTTCTGATTCTGTACATCTTTGGGGAACAGTCCGTCTTTCTCCTGTAGAGCACCTGGTGCGGTTGAGCGGCTGCCCTTTTGGTTGGCTGTCAAGGGTACAAGGCTGGCAGTTGCAGCCCTCCCATGGGAGAAAGCTGAGGCTATCTGTTCCCTTAAAGATTTATAAATAGGGTCGCCCAGAGTTGGGATCAACTGTATGGCAGTAGGTTTGGTTTTGATTGCGGTAGTGCCATAAAACTTGGGAGAGCCAGAACCTGTGTAAGGCTGACACCTGTCAGAGAAGGAAAGCTCAAGTATTTATTTCCCACTAAATAGAGAGCGATAGAAATGTGCTGACTGCACCCTGTCAAAAGTGGAAGACTTGTGAGCCCTGGAAAAACGAGGCAGCTCTGTCAAGTTCCAGCTCTCACTGGTTCCCTTGTACATGTTGAATATGGCATATTATTTCTTTTAAAAGTATTGCAGTTACCAGAGGAACAAACCAGTGTGTCCTGGAAGAAATATAGCCTGATTCTCCTTAGAATCTGGGATGGTGAGACTTCATACGTACTTTGAACGTGTTATCAGGAGAGATCCCTGGAAAAGGCCCATAAGGCTTGGTAGAGGGCCAGTGAAAAAGGGGAAGTCTGAAAGAGGTGGATTGACAGAGGCTGTCACAATGGGCTCAGACATAAGAACAATTGTGAGGATGAGGTAGGGCCAGGCAGTGTTTTGATCTGTTCTGCTGGGTCACTGTCACTACGAGTTGGATGGAACCCACTTGATGGTGCCCCAAAACAGTCCTTTAAGGGAACCATGATTTCAGACACGAGTCAATACCGTGGACTACAAATCCAAACTGAGTGGCAACAACAGCATTTTATTAGATGGAGGCTTTGGGGGGGCTAAAGCTTGTATTTTATGAAATATTTAGATGGAGACTTTGGGTGGGGGCTAAAGCTTGTATTTTATGTTGCTATTCTTTTTTTCAGCTCTTTCCATCCCATGGGGCCATGAAAACACCTTGTATGCCCTCACAAATGGATGATGAACAGATCGTGAGTATTTCTTTTAGTAGAAGGCTTGATAGTGCACTCTGGATCCATCTGTGATTTCCAGTCTGCTCTGAACGCTGACAGAACCTTTTGTGTTAGAGGCTTATGTTTGCACTTACCTTGAATATAAATCAAAGTTTGTTTATTCAAATTATAACACATCAGTGATAGGTTGATTTATTAATGGGTTGATTTATTGTGGAGGGTCTACATGACCTTCACATTAAAGAAATATAAATTAAAGCTCCATGTCTCAGCAGCATTTGGTAAGAAAATGATCATTGATGGCAGTATTTGTAGAACTCTGGATAAAAGAACACTTTTAATGGCAGAGTTAAGGAAGTAGCTTAATGAATATCTAAGATGTTACTGAGTGTGAGATGTTTGCAAGGTCTCTTCTGAAGTGTTTTTGTATGTTTTTGATAATTCACATTAGAATTTATATTTAAAACAAGTGAGTAAATGCACTGTACTTTTTCATTTCTAGATTGGTTTTCCAACTATTCCCCAATGTCAGTATTTTCATCGATATTATTATGCAAAGATTAAAAAAAAATTTTAAGTTGCTATTTTTTTAAAAATGCATAGTACATTTACCAAAAAAAAAAAAAAAACTAGTGAGGGGTAGTGTTTGACAAGCAAAAACCCTCATGTATAAAGGT